ATTTCTCTCTTTTCTGTTCTTAAGTGTACTTGTTTTTTTTTTTTTTTTTTTTTTTTTTGTCTTTTTTCCGTGTCCGGCAACGGATCGCAACCCTCAGTGTTGCCCCCGTACCGGACCGGGGACCGGCAACGGGATCGTAACCCTCGGCGTCGCTCCCGCGCCTCGCTCAGCCAGTGAGCGGGGACCGGTCCGCATGTGGGATCCGAACCCTCGGCGGGAGCGCCACCGCACTTCCCAAGCGGCGCACTACAGCAGTGCGCCACCAGGCCGGCCCCATTACAGTTCTTGTGTACTAATTCTAACATGGGTTATGTCAGGATTGGTCTTCATTAAGCACCTTTTCTTGAATCTGTGGATCATGTTATTAGTTAGTTTGGGCTGCCATAACAAAATGCCACAGACTGGGTGGATAAACAACAGAAATTTATTTCCTCACAGAGAGGTTTTCTTCAAGGCTAGAAGTCCATGATCAAGGTTCTGGCCAATTTGTTTTCTGGTGAGGGCTCTTTTCCTGGCTTGCATAAGGCTGTCTTCTTGCTGAGTGCTCACATAGCCTTTCCTCAGTGTGAGTGTGCTGGGAGAGAAAGACAGGAAGGTAGGGGAGGGTGGGAAGGGGAGAGAGAAAGATGAGTGAGTTCTCTAGAGTCTGTTCTTATAAGGATGCCAGTCCTATCAGATTAGGACTCCACCTTTATGACCTCATTTAACTTTATTTATTGATTTAGTTAGTTTTTGTTGGCTGGTTGGTAAGAGGTTCCAAACCCTTGACTTTGGTGTTACACCATGCTCTAGCCAGCTGAGCTAACCAGCCATTTAAGTTTAATTACTTCCTTAGAGGTTTCATCTCCAAATACAGCCACAGTGAGGGGTAGGGCTTCAATATATGAATTTTGGGGATATAACATTTGCATAGGATACACATTTCCATTCCAAAAGGAAGAAATCAGAAGGAAGAAAGGGGTGATGGGTCCCCAGCAAATCCATAACCTATCAAAGCTAATTCCATTAGATTTTAAGACTTGAGAATAATCCTTTTGGCTTGATGCCCTGCCTTTCAGACCCACTGAAGTGGCGGCCCCACTCCTACATCCCTAGGCAACTCTGCAGGGCCACCCTGCCCTTATGGTTTCAGGCGGAGGCTGTCTAGTCTGTTGAAACCAAGGGGGTGCGCTGACCCTTTGAAACTGTTGAGGCAGTCCTGATGATCTCTGAATTGCCTTTAGGTCATTATTCCCTTTTCTCAAAGAATGGCTCTATTGTCCTCTCCTGTAGAATCTAAGAAGTCTGACAGCCTTCCTACATTCCATCCATTCTCCATCCCCTCCAGATCAAACTGGCAGTGTTTCTGCTTGTACAATCCCATAATCTCTATTGAATGATAGTCCAGCTACACCCTTGGTGTTCTTTTCAAAACATGCTTTCTCATTTTTTGCAGTATGGACAGGCCGTAAATATTTAAAATCTCCAAGATTTAACAATTCCTTTTAGCTTAACAATTCCTTCTTCAATTTATCTCTTTCTGCTTGCATTTTTCTATAAGCAGTCAGGAGGATTCAGCCACACCTTCAACATTTTGCTTCAAAATCTCCTCAGCTAAATACCATAGTTTACAAGTTCTGTATTTCACAAAATACTAGAACATAGCTCAACTAAGAAGGAATTGCCTTTCTACCAGTTTCCAATAATTCTTTACCACTGTAAGAAGGAATTGCCTTTCTACCAGTTTCCAATAACCTCTTTTTCCTTTCCATCTGAGACCTTACCAGTTTGGCCTTTAATGCTTATATTCTTACCCACATTCATGGTGATATATATATTATCTGAAATGAAAGAGGCATTCTCTGTAGCTCTCCTCTTTTCTTCATGAGCCCTTGCTGAAATCACCTTTAACATCATATTGCTACCAACAGTTCCTTCATGGCATTCTAGGCTTTTATTTGCATGTACCTCAAAACTCCTCTAGCCTCTACCCATTACCCAGTTCCAGAGCCATTTCCATATATTAGGTATTTTTACAGCAGTACCCCATTCTCAGTGCCAAAATTTGCATTAGTCAGGGTTCTCTAGAGAAACAGGAGCAATAGGATACACACATACACACACAAACACACTTTTAGTCCATTTTTGTATTGCTATAACAGAAATACCTAAGACTGGGTAATTTATAAGGAAAAGAGGTTTATTTGGCTTACGATTCTGGGACAGCTGCATCTGGAATGGGCCTCAGGCTGCTTCTACTTATGGTGAAAAAGTGGCAGGCAGCTGGCAGGTACAAGCAGATCACATGGCAAGAGGAAGCAAGAGAAAGAGAGAGAGAGAGAGAGACAGAGACAGAGAGAGAGAGGAGGTGCCAGGGTCCTTTAAACAATCAGCTCTCACGGGAACTAATAGAGCGAGAACTCACTCACTACCCCTTCTCCCCCAGGGAGAGCATTAATCCATTCATGAGGGATCTGCCCGCATGACTCAATCAGTTTCCAACACTGCCACATTGGAAATCAAATTTCCACATGAGTTTTGGAGGGGACAACACATCCAAACTCTATCACACACACATACATGTACACATACACCTAAGGGATTTTTTACAAGGAATTGGTTCATGCGATTATGGAGACTGACAAGTCCCAAAATTTGTAGTTGGCAGGTTGCAGATCCAGAAAACCTGATGGTGTAGTTTCAGTGCAAGGCCTGAGAACCAGTAGAACTGATAGTGTCATTCTGGCCTGAAGGCCAGCGGGCTTGAAATTCTGAAAGAGTGATTTTGAACTGATGTTTCAGTTCAAGTCCAAAGTCAGGAAAAGAACTGATGTCCTAGCTTGAAGCAGTCAGGCAGGAGGAATTTCTTCTCATTCAGGGGAGGGTCAGGCTTTTGTTCTTTTCAGGCCTTCAACGGATTGCATGAAGCTCAACTATATCAGAGAGGGCAATTTGCTTTACTTAGTCTATCAATTTAAATATTAAGCTTATCCAAGACGCTCTCACAGAAACACCCAGAATGATATTTGACCAAATATCTGGACACCTCATGTTCCAGTCAAGTTGACATAAAATTAGTTGCCATTGGCTACATTTTCTCTTTTTTTTGAATGTCTAGTTATTTTGGATTTATCTTGGACATTGTGAATGATAGGAATTTGGGATTCTGTTATATTTTTCTGAAGTGTTGATTCTTTTGGTTTATCAGCAGTTAATTTGGATGAACTCAAGCTCCAAACTCTCACCTTCCCTGTGATGAGCAGCAGCTGAAATCTTTGTTCAATTCTTTTTAACCTTAGCTAGGCACTTGGAGTTTTTCCACACATATATAATTCAGGAGACAGCCAGAAATTTGGGTAAAGTTTTCAGGGAGGATTTGGGACTCCTTTTCTGTGTCTTTCTCCCTTCTGGAATACTTTCTTCTCTCTGAGTTGCTATAGTTGCTTCTAACTCTCTCCTCTGATCTAGTGGTATATGTAAATTATAATGATTCATTTGTTCTATCGTCTTGCAAACTAGTTGATTGTTCTTGTGTTTTTGAAGTTTTATCATAATGGATAGAAATAGCTTATATTTTTACTTTATAATTAATTATGATCAGTTATTTTTTGCTGTCTGCTTTCTTGATGCTTTTTGGGATAATCTGAATGTGTTAGAAATGTAATATTTAACTACAAAATACAAATAATACCTTTTACTTTGGTTTTATTTAGTTTTCCAGCAGACATTATCTAGTGGTGGGCCACTAACTTAGCTTTTATTTCTGTTTCTATCTTAAATTTTTAGGAAGCACTTGCCTTGTACTATCTGACATTCTTTTACTCTTTATTATATACAGGTTACTATTTAAAATGGAGCTGAATAATAATATAGCTTATTCTGTAATTCTTTCCCATCCTGATGCAGTTATTGTCTGGCCTATTCTTTAACCGCATAAAGGCATTGTTGATATTGTAGGCTGGTTAATTATTTGTTGTAGAGGACTGTCCTGTGCACTGCAGAATGCTTAGTAGAATCACTGGTCTACTCATTAGATGCCATTAGTGCCCCACCAACCCCCAGTTGTGACAAGCCGAAATGGCTGTAGACATTGACAGATATCTCCTGGGGGGCAAAATCACCCCTGGTTGAGAACCACTGAGTCCAAGTCTAATGAGAAGAAAAGCATAAATTATATATGCTTCTTTGTGTTCTAATTATACTGTGATGCTTATAGGTAAATAGCTCTTGTAAAGATGATTCCAAACAGAAGCATCCAAGCAAGAAAAAGAGGATCATCTATGATTCAGGTAATATTTCTTCTGAGGAGATTTAAAGTTTTAAAATTAGTTTATATCCTTTAGAACAATGTTTTCCAAACTGATATTCTAAGATACACAGCTCTCTCAGTGATGTTAATTGGTGCTGTGAGAGGAGGGCTGTATGCTCAAATAAAGTTTAAAACAATTTTACTTAACTTAAGAACTTATCAGAACCTAAATACATTCAGAGGGGGATACAATATTAGCATGTTTCAAACCTACTTCAAACATGGTGTATTTATTTTTCGTAATAGTCATATTAGTTTCTCTTCCAACTGAGGTTCTTGGAAATTGCATTTGAAAAACAGTGCCTTAGAATTTTGCTTTTAAAGCAAAGATCTAAAATTCAATTTTTGTGCTTGATTGAAAGAACCCATCCTTTTTTGTTGCATTTAAAAAGGAATAAACACAATTTAAAGGCTTTTCTTTGAATACAATTTTACGGTAGGGAACATGAATTTTTGTGTATGCCTTTTATGATGCACACAATGAGTAAAATGATGGTAGAATTCAGAAAGTTTTAGTTTTTGCTTTTGTGGAGAAGATTCATCTGATGTGAATTCTTTCGTTATTTAATTTTTATTTTCATCTCATGTGAGTTCTTGAAATTAAAAATATAGCCTAAGGAGCCATTTACAGATTGTCAAGATTTTGACAGTGATAGCAAAGGTTCTGACTAAATTCTAGAAGTACTTGAGTGTTTACTGTGTGCCTCTTACTGCTCTATACTGTAGGGAATTTTTTTTTTTTTTTTAAAGGATACAGCAGATATGAGGGGAAAACAAATAGGAACTTTTCAACTGAAAAATATAATACCCCAAATTAGAAACTCAGTGACAGGTTTAACAGCAGCTTAGACACAAAAAGAAATTTAGTGAACTAAAATCTGAAGAAAATAAAACAGGAGGATATGGCCCATTCACAGGAAAAAACATTTAAATGACAGAAACCATCCCTGAGGAAGCCTAGACATTGAGCTTACTAAACAAAGACTTTAAATCAACTGTCTCAAAAAACTAAAGGAAGACATGGACAAAAACAAAATGAAACACAGAAAAAATGATAAATGAACAAAATGAGAATATCAACAGATAGGTATTATAAAAGAGACCAAATAAAAATATAATAAAACATTTAAAAATTCACCAGAGGGGCTCAATAGCAGATTTGAGCAGAAAAAATAAAGAATTAGCAAACCTGAAACACTACGATTGAAATTATCTAGTATGAAGAGTGTAGGGAATTTGAAAGAAGTATGTGTCCCTATTCCCCAGGAGTTTCATTTTGGGAAACTGGAAATTTAATTGTTTAATATGATTCAGAACATTATGAACATGGTTTGTAACTGCATGGCGCAGAGGAAGAGGAAGACACTAAAGTTTATGAAGCATCTATTTTGTACTAGGTACTATGCCAGGAATGCACACTTTGTCCTGATTTATATTTAAGTGCTCTGGGTAATTAGTCTGTGGTAGATAGAATAATGGTCTCCAAATATATCCATACCCTAATTCCTAGAACCTGTGAATATGTTAGGTTACATGGCAAAGGAAAATAAAAGTTGCAGATGGCATTAGGAGGCTAATTAGATGACCTTGAAATAGGGAGATTATCCTGGATTATTGAGGTGGGCTCAGTGTAGTCACAAGGAATAGGGAAGCAAAAGAAGAGATTTAGAGGGAGATTAACTATGGAGGAAGGTCAGAGAATCAGAGAGGTGGCAGCATGAGAAGGACTCTGCTTGATGTTGCTGGCTTTGAAAATGGAGGAAGGAGCTGTGACCCCAGAAATGCTGGCAGCCACTACAAACTGGAAATGGCAAGATGGATTCTTCCCTAGAGTATCCAGAAAGGAACATAGCCCTGCTGACACCTTGATTTTAGCCCAGTGAGACCCATATTGGACATCTAACCTCCAGAACTGTAAGATAATAAATTGGTGTTTTAAGCCACTAACGTTGTGGTCATTTGTTATGGCAACATTAGAAAACTAATATGTAGGCTTAATACTGGGCGAATGTAACCTGAGAATTCACAAGAGTGCCTTGAAAAGGACCTTGAGGAATTGGTTCACAAAAACTACTTTATAAACAAACTATATTATATTTCTTTTCAAAGTTTTGTTTTATTTTCCTCTCACATACAGATTCAGAATCAGAGGAGACGGTGCAGATAAAAAATGCCAAAAAGCAACCAGAAAAATTGCCCTTGTCTTCTAAATCTGGTAAAATTTTACGGCAGGACCCTGTTACATACATTTCAGAAACAGGTAAGGTTACTGAATATGTTCAGTTTTTTAGAGAGAGGCACTGTGTGTTTTGTTCTTGATCATTTCATTGGTGTTTAAGTATACCTCCTTCACTTTGAATTGAATTTCTATTGCCTTTTTTGCTTTGTTGAATTACTCATCTGTACTCATCTTTGGCATTTTTTGTGGGTTAAGGACCACTTACAGGGGAATTGACTGTTGGAATTTTTTTTTAAGTGTTCTATATTGAATTATGTAAGCTGAAGCATTATCTTGAATCATATATTAAAACATTATTGGGTTGTTTTAGAATTACTTTTTTGTGTAAGTTTTTTATCTTGCATGAGAAAGTCAAAATAATCTAAGTGTATAGTGATTATTCATATTTGTGATTTATAATTTAGCACACATGTGACTTGAATATTCTGTATTCTCTGGTGGCACCAAAGATTTTAGTATTGGCTTTTAGGAGAAGATTGCTTTGTACTTAAATTATTTATGTTTGATCTGTTTTAAGAGTGATCAAAGAGCAAAATACATTTACAAATAATTTTATACTAATCTTAAAATTTTGTAGTATAAGTAATTGTTTCATTGGTAGGATTCTTTTATGTGAGGATCCCTGAGTTACATCCCAGGGAAAAAAACTCAGATATGTTAGTAGTGAAGTCATTTTGATTCTAGTATTGTTAACTCTTAGAGGAGGCTATTATAGGAATAATACGGGGATAATATTTATGAAAGGGCAAGACTCAGTGCCTGACACATATACTAGAAGGCACTCAAAAGGAAAAATAAAAACAAAAAAACAGAAAAGCCTCCAGTTTAACTTTGTAGGCTATATGAGACATTTATTGATGAAGTTCAAAATGGTCAAAGATAAAATATAAGTGATGTGAACATATTTTTTGGAAGATTTTTAGTAAGTTGAGGTGTTTCTTTGTTATGGCATGTGGCAGATTTACTCTCTTAATCTTTTTGTTCTATTGCTAAATATCTGCTTAGGCACATTTTGCAAAAGAACTTTTTCATTAAGAGACCTCCCCTTTTAGATCTGGTCACCTTTGTGAAGTTTTGAATATCTGGGAGGGATAGTAAAAACAGTATGGTGATAGGTTTATTGTGTAACTGAAGGTGGTGTGATCAAGCTTTCCAGTGATACCCTGAAAACATCAGTTAGTTTGTAGAAAGCTGTGACCTTCAACTGTGGATCAAGGCTGTTGTTATCTTGTGATTTTAAGTACACAAAAGGGCCAGACAATTTAAACTCTGATCACAGATTTTCTTTAACATAGGACTGCTTATTTCAGATGAGGAATTTTAGAATGTTGCTTTCTGAAGAGATATCCAGCATTTTTTCTGAACTTTTTATGGGCATTAGGCAGTGTTTGTGTCATTCTGTGATGGCATGTGTATGTGAAAGTAAACATTGTCCCCTTGTTTTAAGCTAAAAATCTTGAAGTCTGATGTACACATCTAATGTGATGTTAGAGTTTCAAAAAAGAAAAGTGCAGCTTCTTAAAGTTAATGCACTTCTGGGGCCGGCCCGTGGCTCACTCGGGAGAGTGCGGTGCTGATAACACCAAGGCCCCGTGTATGTGAAAGTAAACATTGTCCCCTTGTTTTAAGCTAAAAATCGTGAAGTCTGATGTACACATCTAATGTGATGTTAGAGTTTCAAAAAAGAAAAGTGCAGCTTCTTAAAGTTAATGCACTTCGGGGGCCGGCCCGTGGCTCACTCGGGAGAGTGCGGTGCTGATAACACCAAGGCCCCGTGTTCGGGTCCCATATAGGGATCGCCGGTTCGCTCACTGGCTGAGTGTGGTGCTGACAACACCAAGTCAAGGGTTAAGATCCCCTTACCGGTCATCTTTAAAAAAAAAAAAAAAAAAAATTAATGCACTTCTGGAAAATCTTCGATCTTAAAACAATTCTTTTATTATTCTTTACTTTTTCTTTAATCTAAAACTAGTTTTCAATACCATGTCATAAATGTTTCCATTTTATGTTACCAGTATAAGGTTAAATAAAATATTTGTGGTAATAATAGCTTAAAAATAAAAATTCTAATCTAAAATTATATTGTTTATTTGGAGATTGAGGTTTCTTGCGGAAAAGTATTATATAACATGATTCAGTTTCAAAAACCTGTTAATTCCAAAAGAAATAATTTTGCTTTATTGTTCTATACTTTTCTTTTATGCCCTTCTTCTGTGTTCTGATTTTAAAAAACACAACCTTTGGTTTCTATAGGCATTTTTTTTGTATAGTATGTGCTATTTTTCTATAGTATGTGCTGTGTTTAAGAGCATGGCCTGGGTTAAATCTTTACTTACTTTCCCTGTGTCTTAGTTTCCTTATATGTAAAATGGGGACGTTACTAGTACCTACATCAGCAGCCTTTGTGATGATAAAATGAGATAAAGGCACATACAAAAGTCTGGTACATAATAAATGCTCTATAAGTAGTAACTGTATTCTTATGTTTTGACCCTATTATAAGCCTACTTTTGCCTTTAGAGACTTTTTGCTTTTGCTTATGTACTTAGGGCTTTCTGTTGATTATGTAGCTGTGCTTTAGAAATTTAGAAATGGTATTTGATTCACTTATGTTATAGAAGTGTGCTGTCCGGTATGGCAACTACTAGTTACTTGTGGCTGCAGAGGACTTGAAATATGATTAGCTTGAATTGAAAGTGTTGTAAGTGTAAAATATACACAGATTTCACATGGCAAAGAAAACATCCTACAGATTGGGAAAAAATATTTGCAAACAATGTATCTGATAAGGGGTTAATATCTAAAATTCATAAATAACTAAATAGTAGTACCGCAAATATTCTAATTAAAAAACAGGCAAATGATCTGAATAGACATTTCTCCAAAGAAAACATAAGAATAGCCAATAGAGAAATGAAAAGGTGCTCAACATCATTAGTAAATCAAAACCACAATCAGATATCACACCAATTGGAATGGCTGTTACCAAAAAGTTAAGAGATAAATGTTGTCCAGGGCGTGGAGGAAAGGGAACCTTTGTACACTGTTGGTGGGAATGTAGATTGGTGCAGCCATTATGGAAAACAGTATGGAGGTTCCTAAAGAAATTAAAAGTAGAACTACTGTATGATCCAGCAATCCTTCTTCTGAGCATATACACAAAGGAAATGAAATTACTACCTTGTGTAGATATCAGTACTTCCATGTTCACTGTAGCATTATGCACAGTAGCTAAGATAAACAGGCTAAATGTTTGACAGTGGATGAATGGATAAACTATATATACATGTGCATGTATATAGTGGAATATTATTCAGCTTTAAAAAAGGAGGTCCTGCCATTTGCCACAACATGGATGAAACTGGAGGGCATTATGCCAAGTGAAATAAGCCTGGCACAGAAAGAAAAATATTGCATGATTTCACTTATATGTGGAATCTAAAAAAAAAGAAAAAAAGATATACAGGCATAGAGAATAAAATAGTGGTTACGGGGGTGGGTAGTGGGGAGACGGGGGCAGGAAATGGGGAGATGTAGGTTAGAACACACAAAGTAGCACATGTGTAGGATGAACTGCAGATCTGATGTACAATGTGAGGACTGTAGTTAATAAAATTGTACTGTATTTGGGATTCCTGTTAAATGAGTAGATTTTAGCTGCTCTTGCACAAAAACAAAAAAATGGGTAACTGTGAGATGATGGATATATCAATTTGCTTTGCTATAGTAACCATTTTGCTATCTATATGTATCCCATAACATATTGCATACCTTGACTATACATAATAAGTTTTATTTAAAAAATACTGATTTCAAATACTTTGTACAAAAAAGGTAAATTATCTTATTAATTTTTTAGTATTGATCACATGTTGAATTGTCAATAATTTGGATATATTGGGTTAAATAAAAATATTGTGAAAATTAATTTCAATTTTTTTTCTTTTTTTAAAAAATGTGGCTACAAGAAAATTTTAAATTACACATGTGGCTCACATTTTATTTCTATTGCATAGTGCTTTATAAACAGTGAGGAGCATATGTAGGAAATAACATAGGTTTCAAGTATTTTTGTTTATGTTACACGACTTTTTAGGCTATATTACTATACATATCTTTAGGTTTATCATTTAGCTCCATGACAAATATTTTTCATCACACTTTGATTAAATGTGTCTTCTACTAGGATTTACTGATTTTTGAAACTACTTTGTTAATTTCCCACGTTACAGGAAAAGAAAAAAATTGCTTATAAATATTTTAATAGCTGACCATTGACTTTAGTAAAATGTTCTAGGTTGGTAAAAACCCAAATACTTGTTGTACTGGGTAGATATATTTACTTTTAGCTGTTTAATGAAGCAAGAGACCTTGAGTTTTATTTGGCAAAGATGACCTTTTATTATGCAGTTTCATCAGGGGCTGCTGTTTGATTGAAAATGGTGGGGGGTTTTTCCTGTCTTAAGAATGTTTCTGAGTAATGATTTTGATTGAGCACATAATTCCAGAGGCAGTTAATGCTTTTGAAGTTATAATTATTTGGGAGGTAGAAGAGAAAAAATTGGGGGATATTGTGTTCTCTAGATTACCATGTAACATCAGTGACATGTGACTTGGGAAAATAGCATAAAATATTACCAGGGATGTGTGTGTAACATTCTCTTTGCTAATTTTTAGAGACATATAGTTTTGTATATCAGACAGATCCAGATTCTGTGTGATAGAGAACTTCTCAGATATTTTCAGGGAAACCTAGAGTGACTGAGGCAGAAAGTTTCCTTGAAGTGAGAGGAAACTAAGATCTATGTATCTTTGATTATATTTGTTCAAAAATTAGTATTAATTAGTCATTGCTTAATTAGGTTTAGAATTTTTGAGGATGGATAAAGTATTCAGATCAACATTATTTTGAATTGCCTAAGTAAATGTTCTATTCCCTCATCCAGCCGTTTTGCCTTACACAGGTATATTAAAAACACATACACATGCACATGCGCACACGTACATATATGCACATATGC